CCCCCCCCCCCCCCCCCGGACTTTGCTGAGTGGTTCTTGCACTGGCATCATGTACGTACCACTTCCTTACTTGTCTGCTATGCGCGCCTCTTCAAGAAGACATACTCAGAGTCAGTAGCAGGTATTGCTTCTGCATGACTGCATGCTTAATATTACTGCATTCCTGTCTTGGGAAGAATTTGGAAGAGAACATGCTTCCTTTCCTGCCGAATAATATGCGTATACAATTGGGTGTGTTTCAGAATAAATGGTTTTGTGCGTTGCCGTTAAAGAGTTGTCCAAAACAGTTGTCCAGACGGACGTGCTCCTCGTGTATCACTCTTATGCAGAGTGCCTCAGTTCTTGTAACGCATTGGAAGGCTTCGTTCTGTCACAGAAACACGCAGCAGCTCTCTTGCTGCAGATCGCAAGGAAAGCGAGCTACTCTCCACCACTTTTTGAACTGGAAGAGACCACTTTTTTCCCTAAGCGGAAAGGAACAGCTTTCCCGATTGTTTTCTTTAGTGGATACGTGAAACTGACTGCTTTCTTTGGTTCTTCAACACTACTCCCGTATTGCCCGTTGAGCAAGACATGAACCCTCCTGCACGTCATTGGATGTTAGCGATCGCACGACGACGACACCACTAGGCCCAGTGGTCAGGAGTCAGGAAAGTCGGGCCAGGTTGAGGGCTGGGGGATGTTTGCATCATTTTTCCACGCAGTGGTAGCTGCAGTCTGCGGGCAGCAGAATGTTGCTGCAGGGCGTGGTGCCCACCTCCAGGCACATCGGTGTCGGTCGGGCAGCAGAGGAAAAGGGTTTCAATTGGTCATCAACTCCAAGTTTCGCTGCTTCCGGTCCTTACTCGTTGTTGGAGCTGTCGTCACAAGGAGGACGATTCCGGAGAGTTCGACTTCGGCGAGTATCGCTGCCAAAGTTGCGAGACAACTGGGTGCAACAGAAGAGTGACGCCACTCGCTGCAAGGTATGACGCTCCAATGGGAGTTTCGGTGATGGAGGTGCTCCGTGATCCTTTGACTTGACGCTGTAGCTGTGTATCTGTCGCTAGGCAGAGGAGGAGGAGAAAGCAGAGCTTGCACCTCCAGAGGTGCCAAACATAGCTTCAGCTGTTGCTCAGTTGGCATCGACCAAAACTGCCTTTTAGTTAAGTCATGCTCGACTCAGGATCAGTCAGTTCACCTGCGCTCCTTTGGCTAGCCAATGAAAGCTATCCAGAGCCTCCCAGGGATGGAACCAAAAAAGAGTCTAACATGCGCCCCCCCCCCCCCCCCCCCGCCGGATGGGCTTAACACGAAGTCCTTCTCCCACCCTCCCAACAGAGAGCACGGTAATAGTTTGGACATGCTTGGTTGAAGGTGTCGGGGCATCGCAGCTTTTCTCCGTGCACTGCAAGGAATCTCCAGTGCAGACAACTCTTCGGCATTCACCGAGCAAGCTGGAAGCTGGCCGGTCCCAAAACATCAGACATTCTTCAGCCTCCGAGAACTATAATTCTCCGTCGCCACCGCCGACATGCTCATGATGGGCTCTCTTCCGGAGCTCTGCCACCAGAGCACAGCATGCCAGTCTTCACAACGTCTTGACTCCGCGTGCTGCCCGGCACCACTGGTTTTGTTTTGCCAGTCGCTGCCAGTCCTGCGGCAAGCATGCCACCACGACTTCATGGGTGTTACAAAATGTCGGAGAGAAGAGCATAGCACAGAACTTGCCGAACATGAACATCGAGCATGCCCAAATGCACGGCTCGCCACACAGCTTGAACCAAAGACGAAGCAGGTGTGCTGCCGAAACTAACAGAGCCGTCTTGTTCCGTGGTCTGATATGGCAAGGCGTCTCGGCTGTGAGCACGACCGGCTCTGCCGACATCTGCCGACTTTTCACAGGAGTGGCATGTTGCTCACCGTGCTTCGACGGAGCGCGACGTGCGCCTTCGTTTGAAGCTGCACTGTCCGGAGTCCGGAGTGCTTCGAAAGCAGATGAAGTTAGACCTCCATCACAGGCACACAGACAACAAGCGTCCGAGCCCAGATGCTGACAGTTGAGCCAGTCGCCTGTGAAGTCAGGCTGAAGTCTTCATGACCAGAGAAACCGGACGATACGACTGCCAGAACTGTGCGGGGCCTGTCTAGAACATGCAAGAACAGGCAGCTTGAGTGACGATGTCATGCGGTCACTTTCACTGTCCTTGCTAGACAATGCCATTGCAACCCTTCAGCCGAAGATCTACCCATCCCATGGTTTTACCTGAGGCGGATATGAGTACAACCCTCTCTTCGGTGAAGGCAACTACGGCCCAGGAACAAAGTTCGAGGATCCCCGAACCTTTCCAGGGCGGATCATCTGCTTTCATCACACGTTGTACTTCAAGCTTCCTGCACACAGGTTTAGAACTTCCTCAGGAGTTTGACGCCTGTAGACATGAAGAGCTACTGTATGCAGAAGCGAACCTGCAACCGTCCTTTCCATATCCGTCCTGCAGGACTTGCCCAGCAGCTGGCGATGTCCACAGTGCCAAGTGCTGCAGTCTTACCCCGTCTCTTTGGAGGTTTTGTAGGAACACGTGAAGCCTTCGCTCTGTCTAACACCGACCCGGGATCAAATGCTCTTGCCTTCGAACCATGGACCGGCCTCGCCTGCGTTGCCCTAGTTGCGAGAGCCAGTTAATTGATGGGATGCCGCTAGCCACAGGTCGAAAGATGAGTTTCAGGCCGTCATAGAGGAGGCCTGCACGCGGGCACATCGAGCTGGGGAGTGCGGTGTGTTGTTGGGTGAGTAAACATAGGTCTGCGAGGGTGCACGATTTGTCGCTGCTGTCTCGAACAACAACACACGGCAAAGCCTTTAGATTTGCAGGGCCGTTATCAGCGCGATAAGATGAAACGGAAGCCCATCGTGGGCAGATTCATCCCACTGTTGTTCCTCTTCTGCCAAGAGCTATCCTTGTTCTCATGTCTTGGCTGCCTGGACAGCTGAAGGCGCTTACACGAAAATGTGTGCCGAAGTCCCCTTGGCATCCCACAGTCGTCAGCAGATTCGCACGTGTAAGAGTAAGAGCTCTCCACGGAGCTACGTAGCTCTTGCACATGGATGCGGTGCCGAACAGTTGCTTACGTTGATTGAATCCTTGATGGTGATACCTGCTTGCCAATGACCACATCGTGAAGAATCGTGCATGAGGACCGTATTTTTTCACTGCAAACTAATTTAAGACGAATCTTGTTGCAAGTGGCGACATGCCACACACACATACACAAGTCAGTAGAAACCTCGTTGAAACGCCCCGGAAGCCCCGATGGCTTCAAACCCTTCTCAACCGCAGGCATAGTAAGTCGACAGATATTGGAATTTTCATAGCTGGGTGGACAACAGGCTCACAGAACATCCATGAGCATGCATGTGGCAATGCTGAGGTGGCAGGCTTCGCTGAGAACCAGGATTATGGTGTTGGCTTCAACACATGGACATCTGGCCAGAAGGCTTGGCCTAGCGCAGAGACTTGTTTGATCCACATGCAGAACAGCCGAGCTGCAGAGAAAGAGGTTGGGACGGCATCGGTAGAGCTAGGACATCTGGTCCGTTCGTGCAACCCCCTTGGAAGGGCGTCATCATCTGGGGCTTGCTGGCCGGCGGAGCTGCTCTGTTGCTGAGTGCTTATTCATGGGAGTGATGCCCGTGCAGCACGCCCTTACCTGCGCAGTGGTGCAAGATGCCCTGGCGGAAGACCCTTTTGAAGCAGGTTTCACAACATGCGCGATATGGGTGTAACTGTTGTTCTAGGAGCAGCCGGAAGCATGGCAGAATGACGAATTCCCGTTCCACACCTCGCGTCTGACTGGACCCATATTTCGCACCGCGGCCTTCAGCCGGTCTCATCAGCTAGAGCCCCCGAGTGCACGCGGCTGTCTTTGAAGTTTTCGATCTGCGGCCAGCAGAAAAAGCAGCCATGCCAGGTGCAAGCCAGTTCGGAGTTGGACGCTTGCTACTGCATCGTCGATGCCAGCCTTGCGGTAGACCATTGCATGTCATGCGTTGGGGGAAAGGTGGCTGGCGAATTTGCTGCCTTCGCTGAAGCAATGCTCTCAATGACATCCCGGTCTGTATTTCATGATGTGCGTGCTGTATCCAATCATTGAAGTAATGTCACACGGCGGAACATGTGCTGCGCAGTGCCAAGGAATATCAACGAGCATCACAGCTGTTGGACAAGGCCACGCTGGGAGTAGGGTGTAAATGCTGCAGCTGCTTGCTGCGATCATGATCATTTTCCGCATGCGTAGCATGTGTGTTGTCTTGCTGGTTGGTGTGCACGGTGGCCTGTCATCGATGTTAAGGTCCCTGCATTTGAGCATATGAGCCTTGCAAGTGAAGACCTGAGCAACTGAAACGTGCTGGGGAGACCGCTCGGAACGAAGGTGAAAGCCTTTACTCACTCGTAGCCCAATTGATGCCAGGCCAAGTCATGTCATGTTTGAGACGGCCACCCTGTGGCATCAACAGCACCTCTATCCGCTGACAATCTGACTAAGTCTTGCTGCATGTGCGATGTTTTGACAGAGCGTAAGTCACCTGTGGGTTGTGGTCTGCGCAGTGACTTGTGGATGCGCAGGCAGTTGGCCTATTCAAAACGGAGGAAGACTCCAAAGCGGCGGCCTCGACATACTGCGCAGAAGTTCAGGTGGCAAATGACACCCAAAGGTGCAGGGTCTCATCCAGCACTGTGAAGAGCTGAAGGCCGTGAGAGACTCCATCCTGCCCGCGATACTTTGTAGAAGCACTGTTGGAATGGTTTTTCCATTATTAGCCGCATTTTTTTCGCTGCGGCAGGTCTTCTGCGATGCTCAACCCGGTGTTGCCTCCGTACACGAAGGTAGTTAAACAGGTTCTGCAGCCTTCCAATGTTTCACGAAACCTGGAGGAGGAAAAGGCTTGATTGAGTAGGTACCTTCGCCTCAAGCTGCTCTCGTGTTGAATGCTGTGCAACGTGAAGAGCCCAAGGCGACCGACGCATGCACTATGGTTGGATGCGCAAGTCTGGCTTTCTTTTAGAAACCTTGTTGCATGGATTCACGGCGCGATGCACGGGACAACAAGCATGCTAAACCAGCACCCCGAAATTCATGCTGGTCGGCGAACGTGCCTTATCAGACACGAATCTGATTTGGGCAAGGCCGTGCCTTGAATTGCTCGGATGATTCCGGGAGCATCACGAATACTGACCTTGGGCAGGTTTGGGTGGGTGCGCCGTCTGCAAATTCCACCCGACGGCACAGCAAAAGATCTCCCCAACGATCGATGCTCGCACGAATTTGCAGGAGCGCATAGAGTCATAAAGGTCCGTACCACGCGGCGACTCTTAGGATTTTTTCTGTCGGAAGATTGCCCGAGCTGGAGTCAGTCAGTCACGCAAAGCACCCATCTACATGCGAGACTGTTGCAGGTCGTGCAAGAGCAGGAATTATTTCTCGTGTTTGATATTGAACACTCCCGCAAGTTTTTGGCTATAACTCTGGTCCCCATCGCGCGGAGCAACATGGAGCGCCTTTCGGTGAAGCGAGTGCCAACTTCCCCCATCGCAGGCCAGAAGCCTGGAACCTCTGGCTTGCGTAAGACGGTGAAGGTCTTCCAGGGCAAGAATTATTTGGAGAATTATGTGCAGAGCACCTTCGATGCCCTGGTAAGCAGTGGCTGCAAGGTGCAGGGGGGCGTCATGGTTCTTGGTGGTGATGGCCGATACTTCAACAAGTACTCTCTGCAGGTTGTCTTGGCCATGGCCGTTGCCAACGGCGTCTCTGAGATCTGGGTTGGGCAGGACGGGCTGCTGAGCACCCCGGCCATGAGTGCTGTTATCCGCACACGCAAAGGTGGCTCCGTTCCCTTTGGTGGATTTGTCTTGACAGCCTCGCATAACCCTGCGGGCGTGGACGGGGACTTCGGCATCAAGTTCAATTGCGAAAATGGCGAGCCAGCCCCACCCAAAATCACGGACAAGATCTACAAAGTCTCGCAGAGCATTTCCGAGTACAAAACCTGTACCATTCCCAAGGTTGACTTTTCTAAATGCGGGGTCACGACGATCGGTGGAGCACGAGTTGAGGTTTTCAATCCTGTCGACGACCATGTGACACTCTTGAAAACGGTCTTTGATTTCGAGGCCTTTCGACCAAATGTGAAAGTTTGGTGCCCATCGCATACCGTGACCGCTTTAATAAACTGACCCGTCACAGGCTATCAAGAAGCTCGTCCATCGCACAGACTTCACGTTCTTTTACGACTGCATGCATGGGGTACAGGGTCCTTACGCCAAGCGTGTGTTTTGTGACGAGCTCGGTGCGAAGGCATCGTGTCTCATGAACGCCACGCCCAAGGAGGATTTTGGAGGAAAGAATTCTCCACAGAAGGGCCATGCAGATCCGAATCTCAGCCATTCATTGGAGCTCATGGCCAAACTGGCGGTCAACAAAGAGGGCATGCGCTTGGCTTATGACCAGTTCCCCGCGGCGAGCCGCTTGCTACAATCAGAGCTAATGACTGCAGCGTAAAATGCGCTCGTGCTTAGCTGAGGCTTCGGAGCGGGAGCTGATGGTGATGCTGATCGCAATATTATCTTGGGCAAGAACTGCTTTGTCAGCCCCGGTGACAGCCTGGCCATCATCCTTCAGCATGCACAGTGCATTCCATTCTTCCGAGGTGGAGTAAAAGGCTGCGCACGCTCCTTGCCGACTACAGGTGCCGTGGACCGTGTTGCCAAGAAGTACAACATTCCCTGCTTCGTGACACCAACCGGCTGGAAGAATTTCGGCAATCTCATGGAGTCAGGTACAAAACTTCCCGGGAAGACGTACACACCATTCATTTGTGGCTTCTTGGGTGCATCATATTGATTTTGTTTTTCTCGTTGTTTGTGACATCAGTCTTATCGTTTCCAAGTTCGCTTTCCAGGCGAAGAGTCCTACGGCACCAGCAGCAACCACGTTCGTGAGAAGGACGGGATGTGGGCTGCTATGGCCTGGTTGCAGATACTGGCGAGCAAGAACACAGACCCTACAAAGCCTTTGGTCGGTGTTCGAGACTTGTGCCCTGACGAAATGCTGGCAGTTGACTTTACTTGGTTGGGGTGCCCTTGCTTTGTGAACTAGAGGTGCAGGGAGCACTTCAAGGAGTTCGGCCGCCACTACTACTGGCGATATGACTTTGATGGCCTTGACAAAGATGAAGCCGATTCTACTATGAAGAAGATTGTGCAAGAAGGACCAAAAATGGTGACTTCGGAGGCAATTTGTGCAGTTACGAGTCTTCACCAAATCCAAGATCAGACTTGATGCGAATCTGAGGTTGGCAAAGAAGTGAAGGAGATGCGTGTGCAAAGTGTGGAGGACTTTGTCTACACTGATCCGGTGGATGGGTCCGTGACAGCAGGGGAGGGAGTCGTCCTAAAGCTTTCCGGAGATGCCCGAGTGGTGGTACGCCTGAGCGGGACAGGCTCCAGCGGTAAGGCCTCCATGCGTGTCTACCTGGAGAAGTACGAATCTCCGCAGGGCCAGCTGGATGCAAGCGCATTGGAGATCACAAAACCTTTGCTTGACGCGACAATGATGCTGACTCCGTTGCCAAAGCTGCTCGGCAGCTCTTTCAAAGAGAAAATGCTGGCCAAAAAGTTGCCATCCCAATTTATCACCTGGTGGTTGGGGCTCTTTGAGGAACTTTGCCAAGGTAAGAAAGGCGTCGTTCTGGAAAAGAACATCTTGCCTGTGAGTTCTTTGCCTGACTTGAGCGGCCTACCCCTTGGCGATGAAGCCCTCCTATCGAAAACAGTGGTAATGCGCCTCAATGGTGGGCTGGGCACGACCATGGGGCTGGACAAGGCGAAAAGCTTGCTGAAGGTGAAGGAGAACCATACGTTTATGGATCTCATCGTGAAGCAGGTTATGCAGATCCAGGAGAAGCAGCCTGTACGCTTTATGCTCTTCAACTCTTTCTCCACTGAGGCAGACACGAAGGAGTTCATGAAAAAATATCCGAGTTTCCATTCCAAGTGGGAGGCTGTTTCCTTGAAGCAGTACATGGCTCCAAAAGTCACTGAGTCCATGGCGCCGGCCAAGTACCCGAAGAAGCCCAATTGTGAATGGTGCCCACCCGGACATGGAGACATCTATGCCGCTTTGCTCCTCTCTGGAACCTTGGATCAGCTTCTTAAGGAAGGATACAAGCCACCAAGCAGCAACCAGGGCCAGAATCGCTTGCTTCGCTGTCTCACTGCTTTGTTTGGCCCCGCACAAAGGGAATTTGCAGTTAAGGTATATGTTCGTCGCTAACTGTGACAACTTGGGAGCTTCTGTCAACATGCGGCTTCTGGGACATTTGGCCAGCTCGGGAGCCCCAATGCTTATGGAGGTGGAACATGTGTAACCGCCTCACTCACAAGCTTCTCTAGTTGGGTGTTCGTGTTGCATGTTCAAGCTGAAGATGGCAGGTTTGCGTCCGCGGTGAAGAGGACAAGAAAGGAGGCCACTTGGCCAGAACGACCGACGGCAAGTTCACTCTCCGGGAGAGTGCCCAAGTCCACAAGCAAGATGAGAAGGCTTTTGAGAACATCTCCAGGCATCGCTACTTCAATACCAACAACATTTGGCTGAATTTGGAGCAGCTGCGCAATGCCCTGACGAAGGACGGCCTCTTCAAGCTGCCACTGATTGCCAACGAGAAAAAGTTGGACCCGACGGGCAAGGATGACGTCGTGTCACCTATCCCGCAGTTCAGTGAACCGAAGCCCGGTGCAGGTTCCACGGTGGTACAAGTGGAAACTGCGATGGGTGCTGCAATCTCTTTGTTCCCGGATGCCAAGGCAGTCGTAGTTCCGTCCGATCGGTTTCTTCCAGTGAAAACGAATGCACAGCTTGCAGTTCTTCGCAGCGAAGCCTTCACGGTGGCAGAAGATTTCACTTTGATGAAGGCTCCACGTCCACGAGCCCCTGTGGATCCCCTCCTCAAGCAGCTGCCCCCGGCGTTGAAAAGCTATGCGGTCATGGCACATGCGCAACAGCTTCATGTGGAAGCGAAAACGCGCAAAGTGGCTGGAGTGCCTGAGCTTGCCTTCACCTCTGATGGCAAGCCGATCTCGCCGTGGCATAACATCCCCCTTTTCTCGAATGCCCTCAATGCAGTCTTCGAAATACCGAAGAACTCTAGTGCCATCACTCGTGTTTCGTCCGGCACTGGGAATCCAATAAAGCAGGTGGTGCAAGGCGGGAAGTTGGCCTTTCTCGACGGACCAATTTACTGGAACATCGGCATTCTGCCACAGACCTGGGGGAACCCGGCCACCAGCGATCCAACTTCCAAGTTTTGTGGCAACGACCGGCCGATGGAAGTCATCGAGATCGGCAACGCCTCCATTGTGCAAGGAATGATCAAAGAAGTAAAGCCGTTGGGTTTGCTGCCGGTGAGCTTTCAGAACATGGTTCATTGGAAGGTCATCGCCATTTGTCTTGACGACCCGCTCGCTAAACAGCTGCATGACATCAAGGATGTTGAGGCCAAGTGCAAGGGTGTGATCAGTGGCATTCGCGAGTGGTTTCGTTGGCACCTCGTTGCACAGGGGCAGCCTTTGTGTAAGGTTGAGCAGGTCATGGCAAAGGAGAAGGCCATGGAGGTAATCAAGAGACAACATGACCAGTGGCACAGCCATGCAGCCTCGGCCAGCAAAAGCGCAAAAACCCACGGTTTCGTGAACATGGAGGTGCCGCACTCACCTGCCCCGAGCCTTCCGTCTCCGGCAGAGGTCAAAGCCCCCGTCAAGACATGCAAGGCCGAGGAAAGCTACGTCACTTTCATGAAAGGAGATCCTGGCACAAAGGATTTCCAGCTCAGCTTCAAACGCCAAACCTCTCAAACCGAGAAGGCTCAAAGCACCACTGGCATGACGCAGACGCAGGCCCAGAAAGCAGAGATTGAGAAGATCAAGTCCGTTTCACCGTGGCATGATTTCCCACTCAATGCAGGGCCAGGCCAGTTCTACTTCGTCACTGAGATCCCGAAGATGACAACCGCGAAGTTTGAGGTGCAGCTGGAATTGGAGGGAAACCCCATCATGCAGGACACGAAGAAGGGCAAGCCACGGCACTATGCTGGCCCCATGTTCTGGAACTACGGCATGCTGCCACGCACCTGGGAAGATGATAATGACGAGATGGATGATGACGAGGGTTTCACAGGGGACGGGGATCCATTGGATGTTGTGGAAATTGGTTCCCGGCAACTGGGCTTGGGAAGCATCAGCAAGGTCAAGCCACTAGGTGCTCTGGCACAGATCGACGAGCACGACCTCGACTGGAAGATCATTGCAATCAATGTTGAGGCCGCCAATGCGCAGGGTAAGCTAAAGCACCGATAAAGCAGGAATGCATCATAGTGCATCAGAAGCGCCAGCTGCATCAAACAGAAACGTACTTCCCGCTCGACAGCTGGGAAGCAAACATAAACAACCTAAACGACCGCCCCAGGAAAAGGTGCAACAGGTGGCTTTGAGAAAGGCATACAGAACAAGACATTGCGGAAAGGGTCGAAACAGAGGCCCCAAGCCCTCAGCAAAGACTCTAAGACACTAAAGCGAGAGGCCAGCCTGCAAGGCTGCGAGGACTGTGCCGTTCATGACGGCCGGCATGGCAGTGAGGGAAAGACAACAAAGGGGGAAGAATTGCAGCACAAGAGAACCATCGGAAAGAAGAAACGATGGGAGCGCAATCAACAGCCATCATCCGCAATAATAGACGAAGAAAATGCTTGGGGTCGGACAAGCTTTACGTGTCGGTTGGGGATACTGGTTTTTGGCACGCTGAGACAATTTGTGCGGTACTGCTTGGAACATGCAAACAACACATGCATTCTGGGAGCGCA